TACAGTCAACAGTTTAACCCGAAGTAGGCAGCAGGTTGAGTAGGGGAGGATGGGCTGTGAATGGGCTCATTCATTATTAATTACTGATCATCACACTGATTTATCAGTCTACTCAGGCTTTAGCAGAGCTCAGTAACACTGAGATTAATAACTGATCACATTGATTTATCAGTCTACTCAGGCTTTAGCAGAGCTCAGTAACACTGAGATTAATAACTGATCACATTGATTTATCAGTCTACTCAGGCTTTAGCAGGAACATCAGTGTTTGTAAACAGGTTGTTAATTGAGATTCTCTTTAGAATTCCTCTAACAAACATGTTTGCTACATGTGCGGTCATACTAAAATAATTCATAATCAAACACTGACAGTGTTTTTTTTTGTAATATTGTATATTTTTTTAACATTCAGTGGGTAAGTATTCTAAAGTTATTCTCCTAAAAATGTAAAAAGTAACTGTATTCTGAATACTCCAGTTACAAAATGCAACTTGGACTGAATGCAGATATTTTTGCATTCTGAAAACTTATTCCCAATATTCATACTTTGTTACATGCTAACCCTGGTTCTGACAAACCAAACTACTCCCTCTCGATGCACAGTCTGCACCAGACTGTGTTTTGCAAGAAAGAGCCAACTTTCCCTTACAAACATCACTAAAGTTCATCTTGTCATTTTACTTGCTTTAGTTACTGGAATATTATAAGCCGTATCAGTTTCTCTTAATGGGAAGTTTTTAGCAGTTACTCTAAAGATCTACTGAATATTTGGCAGCTCATGCTGTCACAAGCCAACTAACTGATTATTATTCAATTAATTCACATGAATGATTGAATATCACAACAGTCGTTTTTTGCAGCCCCAGTCACATTAATATGTTTGGAGTGAACTCAGCTGTGCTGATGTCTGGGCACATAAATGAGCTCAGAAACTTCAGGAGGGCGAAACTCTAGGTTTGATAAATGACATCCTGTTGCTGGAGGTATAGCTGAACAGCAGCGGGTCATGCTGCGGTCAGGTGCAATTAGTTACCGGAGGGAGGTTAAAAAAACTACAGCAGCCAGGAGGCCAAGTGCTTCATGTCAGGAGCAATTAGAGCAGACATGAGGAATGAGCTGGGCTGGATTCAAACATGAGTAAGTGTATAATAAAATCAGTTTACAGCAGTGGAATGGTCAACCCCATGACTGACATCACTCAGGAAGGTTAATTCTCATTAAAGGATGACCACACAGAACAGATGGATTCCTCCAGTGCAGCCATGAAAAAGGGGGAACTTCCAGGCCAAAGTACTGCGAAGATCAACATTTACCCTCATCTAACGCTCTGAATTCAGTGCGTGAAAGCATTTCTAATTAGCTGATGAGCTGATTTGGAGTGTTTAATGAGGCAGTAAGCTGAATTCTGCAGTGTTGTGACCTGCAAGGACTGGAGCCTGACGCGTGCTCTAGTTTCTGTGCTGCACATACATTAGGTAGAGTTTTCTAAGTTGGACTGCACTATTTTCTGTAAACTATTTTTAATAGTGGGCTGCACTGATTGTTGAAGTTGGAAAGAGGGGGCGTGCTAGCCTAACCTACATGCTACTGCTGCATGTGTTCTGATCATGGACGTAGGCTGAATGATAGTGTTTTTTTGAATACAACATTCAGTCTATTAAAAATTACGAATACAATGATTTTTTTCCCGATGTTTCACACACTGTTGGGCACTAATTCCTATTAAATATGACTACATATTCTCTTCGTAATAAAACATGCAGCTGTTCAGTACTCTATAAGCATGGACAGTTAGGCCTGTCACAATTCTTACATAATCACCTGGTCACAATAGACCATTTTCACACTTCCGTGTTTGTTGGAAGTTTGTTGGAAGAGTAAATAGTAGCGTTAAACTGCTTCCGGTCGTACTGTACACAATGGCTGATACTGCCAGAAATCATTGCTGCGTTCCTAATGCACCAGTAATACAACTAAACAGCCTCACTTGAGTTTCTACTCGATTAAGTTTAACAATGTTCAACTTCAGCTGAAAAGCTCCGCTCATCATGTGTCACATTTAACGAGGTAGCTGATCAAAAAAAACAAAAAACAAAAAAAAAAAACAGTAAAACAGCTGTAGAGTGAATACGGACTATACAGCAGGACAGATTTACTCACATATGAAGACAAACATTCATTCACTGGTGTGTTTAAAATCCTGGAGATGGTCGTCACAGAGGTTTGACTAAAAACTTTGAGAAACTGACTCTTCTCCACTGTGACTTGGTGATTAGTAACTGTAACTGTAGAAATACGACGCCATGTCTCTGTGCTGGTTATGGTGTTCAGGGCACTTGCTAACGTTGCTGATGTTTACCTGGACTGAGTAGTAAAAACTAAACCTGATGCAGTTTTTTGCCTCCAAAATAAAGCGCAGTGAGTGCAAACCTGTTTAGGGATGTGTGATGTGGTGAACTACCAGACATGCAAACTGCTCTTCTATTAACCGCGCTGAGGGTGACGATTTTTGAGGGATGCTGAAAACCGGAGACCCTCTATGGCCGCTCTGTTAAACGGTGCAGGCGGAAGTTCGATAGCGCTAGCATTTACAGCCGGATGTGACGATGCTGTGACTGTGAAAAAGGTCCATTATTTAAGACGAGTGCAATTACTTGCGACGTCTACAATTCTTTTCTACGGTTGTCAGCTGTAGTGGTTTATTTTATTTTCTTTAGTTTTAGTTATTTTTCTTTTCTATTCTACTTTTCCTTAGTTGATATTGCAGAGCTCATCCATGACTGATCACACGGCTAGGAGATGTCTACCTCAAAACTGACTGTAGGGGTTTCTTGAATTATTGAATTTTATAGCTGATTGAATTAACACCCTGTATTTGCACATATGGATGCTTGTATGTGTTTACAACAAATGTCTACTGTCCTGACTTAATTCTTAGCAGATGTACCATATAAAAATATTAAAACACTACGTAGCATAAAATATAAAAGCACATGTCCATCAGGCTGTTTTGTGCATCATCATGCATCACTGCAGTTTCACTGAAAAGGAAACTTTGAGTCAAAGTTTTTAAAATGGAGGTAAATGGATGAATTGAGCCCCACATATGATCTATACTACATATGTCTGTCAGGCACAACCAGGGGTTACAGGGTTACCTCAGGCACACTTAAACGCCTATTACAGCATTTCAGGTCAGGTCACGATGTTGGAAACAGAAGCTGGTCCACACCTGCACTGCACAATAAAAGTCATGTGAGCCAATGTCAGTGTTAATGTTATTTCAACAGCGAGGCCGGCTCCAAGCAAGCATTCACTCTAGCTCGAGGGACACCTTAAGCATGAAACAGAGAGGGAATTTTATTGGACTCCCGAATAAACCGTTTTATATCAGCTCAATACTGCAAAACCACAGACTTGGCGTGAAAGAGGAATAACAAGAGCCAGAAAGAAATGTTTATAATCCAATCTACAATTTTAAACTGCCAGAAAAGGGAGACAGTATCCAACCCACAACAGCCTAAAGCGAGAAAGAGGAAAGAAACATTTTTACATTTTTTAAAAATACAAGAAGTATTTTTTTTGGTGAAAGACTGGACGACTTCCAAAAGAAAAAGGAACTGCTGAAGTCTGAAGAGGGGAAACATGTCTGACCATCACGGAAACGTCACAGATACTTTAACAAGCTAAAAATTGCAGTAACTGAAAATATCAACCGACATATTAAATGACAGAGGTGTAAAAATACACATATTTTAGGGTTTAATGTGATTTTTGATTCTGGCGGGCAGGATTTTTGACGTTTTATGTCTTGAAACTCTTAAAACTCAGTGAAAGCTTTTCCATTTAGAGCATATCAAACAGAAGTTTGTCCCTCTAACAAAATACTGCAGTTAAAGAATTTCATCCTGTGTTTAACACCACTTATGGGCTGTAACGACACACTCTTTTTCAGGTTCAATGCTGCTTTTAATTCTGAGTTCAGTATTCAGTTCGATTTTTTGTAAACTAAACCCCAAAACCCACAGCCCCTTTAATTTCTAAGTGACCTTTGGGGGAAAAAAGCCCAGCCATTTGACTGAGGGCACATATAACATAAACCACTATGTGCACTACTTTCAAGTCAGAAATGTGGACATTTTGATGTACCTGACCAAATAAACTGGCCTGAACCTTAACTTAGTGAAAATAATTTAAACAGTGGTCTGACAAAACAAATTTATGTTCCCCAAATTGATCAGCTCTACTCCCAAGCGTCTAGTTTTCTCTGATGGGCTACAGCTGCATGCCTAGTTTTGTCAGATTATTAAAGTTTAAAATAAATTATCAAAATATTCATATTTACTTATTTTTCAATATTGTGCTAAATATTATTAAGCAGGCTTATCCTCCAGTCCGTCATCAGTGGTCACAGGACGCTGCCCACAGGACTATTCTCAGTCCAGCAGTGACATTGAGGTGTTTAAAAACTCCAGCAGCACTGCTGTGTCTGATCCACTCAGACCAGCACAACACAGACTAACACACCACCACCACGTCAGTGTTACTGCAGTGCTGAGAATGATCCACCACCCAAATAGTACCTGCTCTGTGAGGGTCCATGGGGGTCCTGACCACTGAAGAACAGGGTAAAAGGGGGTAACAAAGTATCAGAGAAACAGATGGACTACAGTCTGTAACTGTAGAACTACAAAGTGCACCTATATAGTAAGTGGAGCTGATAAAATGGACAATGAGCGTAGAAACAAGGAGGTGGTCATAATGTTATGCCTGATCGGTGTATGTCATGACATTTTCTGAAGATCTGATAAGTTAGAAGAGACAGAGCAAAACCTATGAATCTAATTACTTATCTAATCACACTAAGTCCAATTAAACAGGACTAATTATGATCTCTCTTTGATCAAACATGCAGTTGGTGAGTGGTTTTAAAGTACTGACGATATATCAGTCAAGCCCCTGGTTGAGAAGACTGTCTTATATGGACACCGTGGTCTTACCTGCACAGTCTTCTTAATTCTGTGAGAAGGTCCAGGGTACTCTGAAGAATACAGGTCTGTGAGGAATAGGGAGTTGATGAGTGTAGACTTCCCCAGGCCCGATTCACCTAGAATACAGAGATAGAGAGAGACACTTAGAGCTCCTCCTTGATAAGCTTGTTCTTTTATCTGTTTGGTCTTGTTGTTCCTGATGCCAACAAGAGATACATAGCAATTTAGGCCAGCAAGGCAAATTGAACAATGCCTGGAATTCTCAATATGTTTCCCTCCATTTTCCTCAGAAAATCATCTTATCTATATACAGCAGGGCTGCAATTATATTGCTATACCTTATGACAGTGTGACATTAAAGAAGGTCATTCCCTCAACCAGAATTAAAGGAGGCTGCCACCTGTGTGCTTTTTCTTAACTCAGGAACATTCTCACTTCTGGTGTCAGACCTTGAAGCCAAAGCAAACAGGAAACTATAACTTATAATCATAATTCTGTTTCTGTACTGTGATGTTCTGGTGAGTGAAGCACAGGATCAGGGAGGGTCTCTGAGCAAGCTGAGTGTTTCTCTCCACGGTAGGTGGGTGTTGTGGGAGGGGGAGATGTTATAGTTCGTTAATATTATTTTTTCCCGTCCTCTGGTGCACAATGACATCATAAAAAATCAGAAGACGTGGTAGATTTGGATAAGTCATTTTATATAACAGTTAGCTCCGGCCACGCAAGCGGATTGGTTGAGAAGCGGATATTTCACCATAACATCACGTTTTTTTTCACAAACACTATAAATCACGCCGCTGAGATGCCGTTGCTAAGCAACAACTTTGACAGATGTAGGAGACGCTCAATTGAACGTTTTTACTTCTTACTTTGCCACAAGCAGAAAATTAATACTTTTAAGATCACATTTGACCGACAGCTGATTTGGTCAGACTCTGAAGATGAGACGACACTAAATTCCCAAACTGTCATCACCACTGAGCAGCTTTTCAGTCGGCAGCTGTGACAGAAGAACAGCTAAACAACCTGGAATAAGCCAGAAATTAACCCAACACCATTCGCCAAACGTGTAGTCTGATCTTCAGAGTCTGACCAAATCAGACTGAGCCATAAAACTGCCACAATATCAAGTTTAGCTCAGTTTTGTCAGTTTTTGCCAGATCAGTATTAATGTTGTTTTGTTCCAGCCAGTCTGTAAAGCATCTTACAGCCCATTTAGTTTGGCGAATGGTGTTGGGTTCATTTCTGGCTTATTCCAGGTTGTTTGTGTTCTTCTGTCACAGCTGCCGACTGAAAAGCTGCTCAGTGGTGATGACCGTTTGGGAATTTAGTGTAAGGAGCTGGAGAACGAACTGCCGGTGAGTGACATATTATAAAACATTAAACGCCACATTCACGGCCCAATTTAATAATTTCTTATTTTATTTATTTAACTGTTGTATAAAAGCAATAGAACACAAGAGGTCATTTGTTATCATGAATAACATCACAGCTGTGATGTTATTTCGCAATAACACATGACCTCTCGCGTTCTATTGCTTAAACATTATGATGTAAGATTCTGGAGGAAAAAAAAACAAAAAAAACAATTTAGTCTTGAATTACATGATTTGATGAATCACTCTGAATATGTCTGTTTACACCTTGGTGATCACGTTCAGATTACACCTGAGCACATAGTAAGTCGAATGTAAACATTCACAGGATGCACTGAACAGATTATGGACCACTTCAATCACATTCGGAGGTGGTCAGAGATGGATCTTGACCACATTAATGAACAGAAATGCATCCTTAAAGCGAGGGAATAAACAGTGAACCAAAAGATGGAGGACACACGAGGTTGGAGCTCCTCAAACGAAGAGTCTTCTTGCACTCTGAGCCAATGGAAGTGTCCGAGCTGAGCTTGGAGACTCGTATCGTAATAGAAGAAATTGTAAACAAAGTAAAACAGAAATGCCAAGAGCTGATGTGCCTTTATAAAGCGAAAGTAAAATCAGATCTCACCTGGTCACACTTAACACATTTTAGCGAAAAGTGTGAAAGAAATCCGGCCAAAATTTAAAGGTGTAAACAGGCTCACTATGACTACGAACAGGAGCCAACAAAGGCCCTTTCTGATTTTAGCTTGACTTCAAGGTGTTTAGTGGCTCACAGTAAGAGAGCACATGGAAAAAGACACAGGTGGATCGATAAAATGGCAATAGACTGAAAAAAAAATTTTCACAAACTTGAACTGAAACTACGCAAAGATGTTTTTCTTCCCTTATTATTGTTCATACTGATTGTGTGAATTGGATTCTAGGCCTATATCAAACAGTAAAATATATAAAATGTAATACAGAAATATTGTCACTTCGCACTGTAACAGCTTGGCTACTGGTTGATTTCCACACATTTCCACTCTGCCCATGTGTGAAAGACATGAAATGCACCAGCAGTGCAGAACTACACAGTCGTACGGGTTCTGCAGAGCTAAAACAAAGAATCTAGTGTGAGGAGAACAAGCACAAACTGGCACAGCAATCTGCTCCCTCTACTGACCTTTACCAAGTGCCCAACACGGCACAGATAAACACACTGCCAACCAACCAGAGAGAGACACACACACACACACACACACACACACACACACACACACACACACACACACACAAGACAAAGAAACACTCTCCCACTTCTTGAAATCATAAATATTTTTCCGAAGGGCAGAGCAACGCTGACCTCACACACTCATTCCACAGAAATCTTTTCAGTTGTTCACGGAAAGAATGAAGAATTGAAAAAGAGACTTGCTCCTTTCTTAAAACAAAAACAAAAAAAAGACTTTGAGGATTTATTTTGCTCGCTGAATGTGGTCTGAAAGCGGCGTGTGAAACACAGTTGTCTTAAAAATGCCATTCTGAATTGGTGGGACAATAAAGTCTGCGTGAGTGGCAGACACAGTGGGATGAACTTATTCAGCGTCTGCCAGAACTGACCCAGCCGAACAGGGAGAGCAGACAGCAGTAAAGAGCCCACAGCCATAACGCTGAATTACAGCTCTAAACCAGGCTGCTTCAGCTCGACTAACACTCACTACAGGAATGTGACTCCACTGAAACGGCTTCATCCTGAGATAAATACATATTATCATGTTCGACATCACATTTAAATAAACCCAAAAAATGTCCTACAATTCATAACTGAGTTCAGAATAAAGACCAGTCATTTGGGTAAAGGTGTGTCTATAGCATACTGTAAGTCCCGCCTCCTCCTCGCCCACTTCACTCTGATAGGCGGCACACAGACTCGTTCTGATCACTGACAGTGGACACCACGAAAGACGATATATTAGAGAACAGAGCGAAGATGTATCAACCATACAGGCTTGTTTTTAAAAGCTGTTCTGAATGTTAATTTTTCCACTTTTCCAATATTGTATTGAAATGATCATACATGTAGCCACACAATATTTCTGCTATATCGCCCAGTTCTAAGTAAAATCATATTATAATTAGAACTGAGCAATATAGTAAAGATGTAACATCGCAATAATTCAAGAAGTTTTCACAATACACCACGTCATGGTATTTTTTTTCTGACGTCTGGGAAGCTGTAACAGACAAAGTAGTGCCACATTATAAACTATCAAAAACTATGAATCTGATTAATTGTATACCCATTACACTAAATCTAATTAACCAGGACTAAGGCCCAACCCCATTTCACCCCTCGCCCCTACCACTTAGCCCGTAGCCCTCTGTTTGGCACGTTCACGTCATGGGGTAGGGTGTTCCAATTTTTGTTAAGATAGAGGGGTAGGGTGAAGCGTTGGGGCTACATGGCCCTCCAAAAGGAGGTTTTTCAGAGGCACTCCAGACAGAGTGTTATGAGGAAAAAAGAAAAACCGGCAAGAAGGCTGAACAAAAGACCAAAGAAACCCACAAAAGTGAGCATATCTCTGTTAAAAAGTTACGATAACCATTGTTTTATCTTAGTTTGTCATTTTAATGTATTACGGTCCTTTTTTTCATAACAAGCCAAAAATCACTAAAAGCATGCCGATGTCTCGGTAGGTAGCTAGCTAACTTTCCCGTTCCACCTTAAATAGTCCAGCAGTATTGATGACTGAAGCGCCAGAATGCAACTGCTGCACCATTTAAGGTGGAACGGGAAAATTCGAACAAGAAGCCTAAATGTATCTAAAGCCCAGCAGTGAGGAGCTGAACTTTACCCTCCTCTGCGGTCACTGCAGACTGGCAGGGTCGCCTACAGAGCAGCGCTAGTAGCTGTTAATGAAGCAATGCTCTTTTTTTATTTGAGGGTCTCAATTCACAGGGGAAGATTTCAACCACTACCCCTTGTAACTCAGTTCCAAGGAGTTAGGGTGACACTTGAAAACAAGGGGTAGGGGTAAAAAGAAGAAATGGGATTGGGCCTAATTATGTTCTGTAGTTGGGAAGTGTTTATGTACTGGTGACACACAATATGCTCAGAAATGTGACATGTTGTGAAGTAATTAATCATGATAATGATAAACACGGTCACACTGCCCAGTCTTAATTATAGTACTACAATTTAGTAAGCAAGAATACTTTGAATACTCAAGTACTCATTCATTTTGTCAGTATTAGTTTCTCTATTCATTTCAAAGAAACACAGATGAAACTGGAACTATATCTGTTCCATCAGACAGCCAGTCAGATCAGCATTCCAGTTGTTGGAACAGACGTGCTTATTGGCTCACAGATGGTAAAAGGGTGGACTACTCTGGTGTTGAAATTTGGTAATGATTGATGACATTTTTCAATACTCTGTAGTATTTGTGAGTATAGTACTGAAGTCATTTGTAGCATTTAAGTAATAAAAGCACTGCATTTTGATAACCAGCCCTGATCTTCTAGTAGTGCACAGCAATCGGTCACAATGACCACATATCATATGAAACGAACAAAGCATTACAAAGTGTTGGTGTTTAACTAAACATGTCACCTTTTTTCCATAATTAACGTCGTTGATGACAAACAGATGGCTATTATGAAATATCACTGCAGCCCTACTAGCGCGCAAAAAAACTGTTTTAAAATAATAACTGATGTTAAATAAAGACGGTGTAAAATTATCAATGCTCATC